TCCCTCCTCTCTCTCCCTCACTCTCTCTCTAAAATTGTTGCCTCTCTATAAGCCTCCCTCTCTCTCTACCTCTCTCTCTCTCTCTCTAAAATTGTTGCCTGTTAATGGAGAGATCAGAAAGGTGCCGTGATTTCCTGTTGGCTTCTTGCCTCCTCTTCTTTTTCTCGCGGTTCCTCTCCCACGCTCGCCGATACTTATAACCCAATTCGCTGACTTGCGGAAAAACCCGCCCGGTGCCCTAATCGCTGATAAGTCCCCTGCCCCCGTCCTTTAATTGGACGGCACTAAAATTATAAAAGGGCATGCTTGTTCGTAATTAATACTTTCACTCTATAGATGAGATTGTCTATAAAGACATCATTTATCCATGGTGCCGTTTGTACACAGTGGACGCTCTAAACAAAAAAAATACAGCACACTTTCAAATAGTGTCAAGAAACGTGGTTTCAATATTGAAAATCTTTGTGATAACTTTAAAATATATTTTTATTTTTAATTATAAAACTTAAAGTTTCAAAAATAATGTAGATCGAGTAAATCTATGAAATCTTGAAAATTGATAGTCAAAATATGCCTCACAAGGTGCACTATTACCAAAATTTGAAATCCATTTTTTTTCATGTTTGTGCATCTTGATGTCGAGATGATCGATTTGAGGATGTTTGGTTTCTAATTTGATTATTTAGCCTCCGCTCTATATAAACTTTTTTGTTTATCTATTATACATGGAGATCACAATAATTTTTGTTCATTAAATTTCAAAATGGATAGTTTAAAGAGTGTCCTTGAATAGACACTGTGTTTTAAAAAAAAAAATCAAACTCCGTATCGAATTTGATGTCTAATGAGTGGGAATGATTGTACAGATGATAAATGGTTGATAATCTCATCTAAAAATTAGTGTATTCTATATGAATTTACTCAACTAGTAGTTCGGTAGGTACCATTACATACACAAGCCTATACATGTATTGAGTGACCTGATATTTGGATGTGGTGAACTTCTAAACCTGATTGACACTGACCTTATGAATTTGTATAGTTCTGTGGTTCAATATCTGTAAAAGCATGCGCGAGCCTTCAAATTGCCTAATAAAATAAATTTTATTCACCTACATTTAGGTTTTCCTAGGGGTTTTACGCCAAACTATTTACCGGGAATTGTTTTTATCGTCTCTTATACCAAGGATGAGAGGTCACTATCTCCATTTAAGAACAGAGCCTTTTCCAGCCATCAAATTCATGCAACTCTCAGCCTGAACCGCCATATTCATAAACCATTTTGTCATATTTCATGTTTCTAAAATGTTTTGGAGGACCACTTCACTTGATATGGACCACTCTAGTCTCACAATTAGTAGTCGTCGTCATTATCATCATTATCAGAAGTCTTATTCCAACTATTTGTCTGCTCTATCAATGGCTATACTCAAAGTGAGAATAAGTCCCCATATATTTTATCTCTACTTCTGACTATGTCCTCGCTCCCTTTTAGAGCTTTTTATTTAAACCAAATCACACATACTAACTCGTGTTTTTAGAGCCTTTCATCTAAACCAAATCGCACATAATAACTGATGTTGGGGTCTACACTGCACATGACCAACCCACTTAAGTCTACTTTTCTTCATCTTATCGTCTCATAATAATGCATGTCAGATGCTAAAAAATGAAGGTAGGTGGTTTGAGAAACCTGTAGAGCTAGAAAGCTCATTGGCAAGCCTAAATCATTAAAACGAGATGGATCTAAGGTTAGTCACAGCAAAGACCATTATTTTTTGTTTTCGAGTATTTTTCTTTCAAAAGAAAGCCTTGAGTGCTAGAGGGAGAAAACTTTGAGAAATTTGCAAGAAAAATCTTGAAAACCTTGAGCTTAAAATAGAAATCTCATGTGGCAAAAGGAGTGACAAATAACTCTGTTTAATGGCTCTAAGAGGATATTTTATAGTGTTTTTGGAAAGAGAGCTAAACAAGGAAGATTTATGGGTGTTCCTGATATTCCATTGCCCATTACATTGGATTTTTATAGACAGAAAGCTTTAGATGGGAGTACACTGGTTATGCGATCAGTACTTAAGCCTCAACTGTCTCTTTCTATATTGGTATCTACTTTCAAGAACCATCCACATCCATTATTACTTAGACTCAATGACATCTCCGGCCGAGAGATAGATGGAAAATAGATGAAAAATGTAAAAGGAAATTATATATTGTATATCCAGTTGATATGGAACGAATATATTGTAATCTGTAAATTTGGGAATGGTAGATACAAAATCTTGTATTTATGGTAAAATTGGGTATAGTATAAGAATCTGTGATTTATTTTTGTATTTTGTCATATGTAATTTGTCTATTAAAGATAAGTCTGTATATTCATATGTTCAATGGACACGGAGTCTCTTCAGAGAAACTGAGACTCCTCACAAAAAATAATGAAGCTTACAAGTCGAGCCTTAGTGCCTCTCACTGATATCATTGCGAATTACAATGGATAAGAAGTCAAAATTGCTCATACTTTTAACTACTCTATTTATAAAGCAGACCCTAAATCTTGATACAATTTTAGTTGTTAAACAAAAAGAAAGGAAAACCAGGCACAAAACAAGAACTCTACCCAAGACATATTCACTTTGTATAAGAAAAAAACACAATAATATTTAGGAAATATATCTAAGGACTTTAGAATTGGCATTTAATATAACATATTAGAGAACCGGAATTCATGTAGCCGACCCCAATTAATCGAAAAAATGTTAAAATAATGATGATGATGATGATTTAAGGACTCAAGAGTGTTTTTAGCAAATCTGGCAAGCAAAATTGGTAGAGCCAGTATTACATGTATAGATTTTTTTGAGAAGCTCATGAAAGGTGAAGCCAATTCATTTTGAAGGAGGTCAGATCCAAGAACTATGGTATGGACGAGAGAGGCAACCTTGTAAAAAAACTCATGCCTTCTCCTGGCTTGCTATTCTTGGCAAAATCCTGCGTTGACAACCTCATGCACAAAGGGATGCCATTGACTAACATACGCATACTAGGCAAGCATGATGAAGAATTTTGTTAATGCATATCTTTTTGCACTACTATTTTGCACACAGTGTTTGGTCTTGTGCTGGGTCTCTAGTCCTATAGCAGATTATGCCCAACTCAGATGCACTCTCTGCTTAATGGAATAATTCGCCGCCGCTCTCGAAATGGAGATATTTTCTTTGGAGAATCTCACTCCCAGCCACCCTTTCCCATCTCATTCTAGGGAGAAATTAAGTGGGCTTTTTAGATATGTTCAGACCGAGCTCTCTTCCTTTACATGTTAAAACAACAAATAGTTTTTGGGGCTAAGCCCACAAATAAGTTCTCAAGTTCTGCTATTGTAAATTCTCAAGTACAACTCAAGGAAATTTCTTGGTCACACATCTCAGGCAGTGAACGACTTACTAGGTGGTGTCCTCCACATCAAGGTTGCTTGAACACAAATTCGATGTTAGTGCCAGAGGAACCTTGGATTGGCAAGGATATCAGACCTCCTCGAGGACTGCAATAGGCACATCCTCTGTTACTGCTCAGGTCCACTCATGAATTGCAACTTGGATGAGGTGGAAGTCCACTTTCACGTATAAGGCATGAGACTCCTGCACGGCTCACAACATCAACTCGTTATCGAGGGTAACTCCTAGAACAGAGTTTAGTGGAGCTTCGACATAAAGTTTTTGATGAAATCTGAGATAAGCTTGCAGTGCTAGAGGCAAAAGTGAAGCGATTGTTCAGGCGAAGTGATCAATATGGAGGAAGATACACTAGCCACAATGATACTCTTACTATAACTAATTTTCATTTCTTATAGAGTCTACTCTATATAGACTCAAATTTTGTATATGTAAATGTATGGGTATCAAATTGAACTCTATATAGAGGCCAACATGGAGGTAGATCTACTAACCAAAAAAGGAGTGCGTAGTGCTATTCTTATATTAACTAATCTTGGTTTTAGCAGGTCTAATATAAGTAAACTCAATTTTTGTATATGATATATATATATATATAGATATATATGAGAAATTATTCTATAGGACCCTCTCCCACTCATATGTGTAGGATCCATGAACGATCACCATTAAAGTTGGTACGGATCTTTAAAAAAGTCAAGTCCCACATATATGTGATAACTTTTCTAGAGATGCATGCCAACTTTAATGGTGATCATTTAGGGTCCTACACACAGAGGAGGGTCCTATAGGATCATTACTATATATATGGGAAATTGTAGCGTAGGGCAATGGGCCTACAGCTACATATAAGCTCAACGGTCCAAATTTAATCTAAGCCAATCTGACGGACACGACCTCATTTTATATTTTTACTTGAATTTATTTTCCACAAATTCAAATCACGTAAAATTTGAGACATCTATTATTATCATCAAGGAGCACCTACTAAAAAAACTGCAAGACATAAATTGATCAAAATACCCATGAAAGTTTTGGGGGTATTTTGTTCAATTTATTTAATACAAACTATTTTTTTTATATTTTTATTGGATTTTCCTATTTTTATAGAACACACGTCCAAATTTTCAAATGATTTGAAATTATATAAAAAATATTAAAATTATAGCGTAGACCAGTAGGCCTACAACTACACATGAGCCCAACGGCCCAGATTGAATCTGGGCCGATCTAATGATCATGATTTAAAAATAGAAGAGTCCAATAAAATATCAAAAAATATTTCGTAAGAAATAAATTGACCAAAATACCCCCATAATTTTTTAGGGTATTTTGGTCAATTTATATATTGTAAAATATTTTTATTAGGTGCTTCTTGATGAGAAAAATAGTCGTCTAAATTTTCACTTGATTTAAATTTGTAAAAAAAATTTCAAATTAAAATACGAAATGAAATCGTGTCTGTCGGGCTCATATGTAGCTATAGGCTCACTGGTCTATGCTAACATTTCCCATATATATATAGAGCAATGATATCACGCAACTGTTGTATAATAATATGATGCAATAACGTTAAAAAACCATCTCTATGGCTATTTGTTTGATCCAAAATTTGAAAGATACACTCTTTTCATTCTAATGAACAATCACAAAAAAAGAAAAAATTGAAAACACAACCTAGAAAGTATTTTTTTAGCCCAGTTAACATAGGCCATTCATTTTGGTGAGATGATAAAATCTAGGCCTTAGAAGAATTTTTTAATTTCTAATTTTTTTGGATGCCTTTATTATCATTAGATGAACATTGTTGAAAAGAAAAAAATGATTTTGAGCTTATAAAGGCTAAGATCTTGAAATTCACAAAATGAATGGTCTAGATTCGTGTTTGGAGGGGACTCATTTTGACCATATCTAAGCTTCAAATTGAACCCTTTTTTTTTGGGGATTGATTATTGAGATGAAGAGAGTGTGTGTACGAAATTTGAGGTTCTACAAATACCACAAACATGGTTTTCTAGAAGTGTTGTTACATTATACTATGATACAACAGATGCATTAGATCATTGCTTATATATATATATATATATATATATATATGAGTAATGATCCTATGAAACCTTCCTATACCCATGTATGTAGGATCTCAAATGATCGCTATTAACCATTCAATTTGGCACAAAACTCTAGAAAAATTATCACATGGGTATGACTTGAGTGAATGGTTTATTGATAGCTTTTCTAGAGATCTGTATCCAAATTTAATGGTTATCTTTTGGTATCCTAATCACATGGGTGTAGGAGGGTCTCGTAGTGTCATTATATATATGTAAGTAATGATCTTATGAAACCTTCCTATACCCATGTATGTAGGATCTCAAATGATCGCTATTAACCATTAAATTTGGCACAGATCTCTAAAAAAATTATCACATGGGTGTGACTTGGGTGAATGGGTTTATTGATAGCTTTCCAAGAGATCTGTATCCAAATTTAATGGTTATCTTTTGGTATCCTAATCACATGGGTGTAAGAGGGTCTCATAGTGTCATTTTATATATATATATATATATATATACACGCTATGATTGCTTCATAAATGGTATGATTTATTTTTAAAGCTTAACGTCTTTCTATTTTTATTTGTTTTTATGATTATGGATACATAATATTTGAGGTAGACATGATTAATTTGTAGATTTTTAGTGAGATTTACTTTCCCCTTAAGGAAAGTGGACTTAAGGAATTGGCTGTCAGGTTGGTAGGCTCCCACAACATAAATCATGGGTAACAACATCTTGATCTATTCACCTTTCCCCCAAAAAACAAAGAAAGAACCATTGTTGATAAAAAAAATAAGTTCCCAACTACTTTAAATTACTAGGCATATATTATCAAACTAACATCACTCACTTTTTCTTAGGGAAAATTGTGAATAAATCCTATTTTAAGATATATATTTTTAAAAAGAGTTGCCTATTTTATATTTAACACAAATGCCCTACTTTTTTCATTATTCTTCTAATCCCATTTTTAACCCCAATATTTGCGCTAAATGTCCCAACAGGGCTATTTAAGTGGAGGAGACTTTGAATGTCACCCACTCTAGTTATGTTGTTTTTGTAAGTGAGCCATTTCGGACATCCAATACACAAAAACCTGACTTCCACTTATTCTATTTTTTAGATTATGAGACTAGCCTAGATTTTGGGTATCCGAACATAATCAAGTGTGTGGGTTTGGATAACCAATATTCTAATTTGCTCATTTACCATTAGAAAGGGGTAAGTTCAGCTACCCAAAAATGGATATGCGAGGTTTGTATAGAGCCTAGGTTCTAAACCATCAAATTAGAGCCTATCTTCAAATATTGTCGAGAAATGTAGTTTTAATACTGGAAATCTTTGTGATAGCCTTAAAATATATTTTTATATTTATTTATAAAGTTTAAAGCTAAAAAATAGTGTCGACAGATCTATGAAAACTTGAAAATCTTGAAAATTGACGGTAAAAAAATGCATTACAAATTACACTATTTTCAAAACTTAAAATCTTTTTTTCTTTCATGTGCATGCATCTTGATGTTGAGATGATCAATATCAAGATCTTTGGGCATCAAAAGAACCTTTTCTAGTGAAATTTATTAGGTATTGATGTTGAGATGATCAATATCAAGATCTTTGGGCATCAAAAGAACCTTTTCTAGTGAAATTTATTAGGTAGGCTCAAATTTGACTGTTTAAAGCCTTGGCTCTACATAAACTTTTCCCAAAATCCATCTCCGACTTAAAAGAAAATATCTTTATATGAACATTTGTCGACTAAGTTAAAGATAATTTAGGAACAAAAATGTTGCAGAAGTTAAATATAATTTTTTTACCTTCCTACTACTGAACTTCAATATATATATATATATATAAATAAAGGTGTGGTTTGCATAAAGTTGCAACTTTAAACAATCCAATTGAAACTCACCTTTAAATTTTATCATAAATATACATTTTCCGTAAAAAATTATTAGATTGGCTTGAATTTCATCTCTAGTTATAAAATTTTAAACACATAAAAATCTTGAAAATGAACAATCCAATGTGTTGTAAAATACACTATTTCGTAGACTGAAAACCTTTTTTTTCTTTTCATTTTCATATAGACGTCGGGATAATTTTTTGAACATCCAAACAAACATTTATAATTTTATGACGTGCATCTTTAATTCTACATTTCCTTGTTTTTTTAAAGAGTTTTTTAATCCGTAAGTTCTCCTTTTTTAAAAAACATTATTTGCCTTTACCAACCACGCCTAAGAAGTTAAGACCAAGACGATATCACATTTACCTATGGGACTTTGTTCAGGATTAGGTACCGTACGAGTATTTGCTTGTCGAGGTTTCAGGGCAAGTCGGTGCCTTCGTAGAGAGAGAAATACCGGAAACGATGAGTGAGAATGGAAGGAAGCGGCCCAATGTTCTGGTTACTGGCACTCCAGGTACCGGAAAGACGACCACCTGCTCCCTTCTCTGTGATGCCACGGGTTTCAGGCACATAAACGTGGGAGAATTGGTCAAGCAAAAGAACTTGCATGATGGATGGGATGCAGAGTTTGAGTGCCATATCATCAATGAAGATCTGGTATCCTAGCCCTATCTCTCTATCCTTAAAAGAAAAAAAAAGAAAAAGAATTCGAGTTGCGGGCCTCTGTGAAATACTATTTTAGAATCTCTCTTGACCTCAATGGAAGAAAAATTTTGAGTTGCAGGTCTTTGTGATGTAGCTATTTACGGCCTCTCTCTCTCTCTCTCTTTCTCTCTCTCTCTTATCTATATATCTATTTTTTCAAGAAAAAAAAATCGAATTGACTGTTCTTGTTACTTATTTGGAATCTCATTTATCTATTGCTCTCTGCATATCTAGTTATTGAGAAAAGGGAATATTGGACAAGGAGCCTCTCTCTCTCTAATCCTTGACATATAAGAATAAATTTTGGATATCTATGAAGTACTATGTAAAATAATATGTTTTGCAGTTTCTGTGGTTGCTTTCTCGCTCCATAACTTTTTTTTAATGCATTGTCAATTGATGAGTGTTCATTTGACTTATTGTGATGCTTGGATACCTTCCTTGTTATTTGTATTGTTTGTTGATTGCTATGTTGGCCTTCGTTGATTTTTTAATTTTTAGGACAAAGGTTGACGTTTAAATCCTTTTAAATTGGAGGCGAATACTTATCCGCACTTGATTTTCATATTTCATTCATAATTCCAAGTGCTTGTTCTGGCGTTTAATAGTGAGGGATTGTGGAAGATATTAATTTGGATTCTGTTGGTTTCAAGAACTTGCCTTGGAGCGCATGAAGTTGGATATAATCGAGCTATGACTATGTCATTATGGTTATGAACCAAATCTTATGGTGCAAAAGCAGAAGATATGGTTAACCCAATATGTCATGCAAAGGATTAATTGATTTTTATTTATTTTTACTTATAGTTTCTTGATTAACAATGGACGTTGTTGCCTTAGTTCTGGTGCATCTGATGTAGATGTGATTTTACGGAGATTTGTTATTGTAGATGCCAAATATTCATCTTTTTTTACCTCAATAATGTAGAGGGAGCAGGAGTTGCTTTTATTATTTGGATGTATATGCCCTAATAAATCTATTTATGGGCCAAAGTTTGATGCTAATGTTCTTTTGGGTGTAATTAGTTGGCTGGGATGGATTCATATGGTCAAAGATCATATCTTTAAAAATATTTGTGTAGTAGATAATGATATTGGGAGTTCATACATCTATAGTCTTTGAGTGGCAAGATGTAGTGGAACATTGAAGTTGCAGTTCAAGTGAAGTTCAGGAGTGATATAGCCTATAAGGTGGACGCTGATGAAATGTTCCTTATGCTTGTTATTAGTAGATGATGATATTGGGAGTTCATACATCTAGAGTCTTTGAGTGGCAAGATGTAGTGGAACATTGAAATTGCAGTTCAAGTGAAGTTCAGGAGTGATATAGTGATGCAAATCGCAATCAAGATTTTTTCTTATTATTTTAGTTGCTTTGAAATATTATTTTTTATTAATATTTAGATGAGCAAGGGTTCACGTGTTGAAAGACCACATTTTGTGTTAAAGGACTTATCTTTAACGATAGGTAGTTTTTTTGGAAGACCACATTTTGTGTTGGAAGGCTTTTTATCTTTAAGTATAGGAAGTCTTGGGGGTATCTTGGAAAACATCATCTTTAAGATGGGAGGTAATAGATAAGTGCCGTACTATCTTTTGGTAGTTAGCTTTTTGCAAAGATATGGAAGGATTGAGATGAGGTACGTGCAAGTTAGAGAGAGAGTACTTTTTTTTATGGGTTTTTTTAGTTAGGTATTTTATTTTTTTATAGCCTATTTAAAGGGAGATGTCCCTTATTTGTGAAGGCAGAGATTGAAACTGAGTAAAATTTGGTCTTGTGAAGAGATCGTTTTTAGGGTGGATTCCCTTGCAGACCTAGAGAGAGGGTATATTCTCTCAACCTTTTCTTTTCTTATTGTTATTATTCCAGTTTTATTGTCTCCCTACATCAATTGGTATCAGAGCAAGTAAGATCCAGTTTTGTTTTTTTTGCAATGCCACCAAAAGCTAATCAAGCGAATCCTACTCCTGCTATGGACGATCACTGTGGACAAGATATAGAAAATTTGACTAAAGCTCTAGAAGATGTTCGAATTGAAGTACGTGAAATGAATCAGGGGATGCAACGGTTTGATTAGAGGTTGCAACGGTTGGAGAACATTGTTATTCATGAAGAAGTGCTCGCAGCCATATTGATCTTGCACAAGTAGTCCCACGACAAACCCAGGGTTTTGATTTCGAGTGTAACGAAGAAATTTACAGGCTAGTTCCGTGTTCTATAGAGCGACCATGAGATTTTGGTATTAAAGTTGATCTCATGGAATTTCATGGTAAGTTCCACATTGAAGCTTTTATTGATTGGTTAAGTGCAGTTGAGAATTATTTTGAATGGAGTAAATTGCCAGAGGAATGTAAGGTTAAACTTGTTGCTACCAAGCTCTGCGGGTATGCTATAGCTTGGTGGGAGCAAGTTCAACAATCCCGACTTCGTAGTGGGAAAGAAAAAATTACTCATTGGCAAAAAATGAAAAAGAAATTGAAAGAAAATTTTCATCATGTGGATCATGAGCAAATTTTGTTTCAAGAATTTCAAAATCTTTGACAATGAAAAAAAAGTGAAAGATTATACTGGGGAGTTTTATCGATTAGTTGCTTGAAATAACCTCCAAGAGACAGAAGGACAAAAGGTTGCTCGATATGTAAATGACCTTCAACCTACCATTAGGGATGATGTTTTTCTACATCGACCATGGACTTTAAGTGAAACTTGAAAAGTGAAACTTTTCAACTTGCTTTACGACTAGAAACTAAATACCAAGGGAGCCACTATAAGCGATTTTACACCCAGATGGAGGTTTCGCGTCAACCAAAATTTAATGAAGAAAAAAAAGGATACTGCAAAGGTATAGGTGTTATCAATGCAACAAACTACGACATCGTGCGTATGAATGCCCAAAAAAGAAGATGGAGGTACACTTGGCTAAGGAAGATGATGAAGTTCCAAAAGGAGATCAAGTTCAAGAAATAGTCCTGCATGGTGATGAAGGAGATCCACTTTGAATCAAGCTCGAGGTCGAGCGTCTCCCAACCTCGGGAGAATGATGTAAATCGCAATCAAGGTTTTTTATTATTATTTTAGTTGCTTAGAAATATTATTTTTATTAATATTTAGATGAGCAAGGGTCCACGTGTTGAAAGACGACATTTTGTGTTAAAGGGCTTATCTTTAATGATAGGTAGTTGTTTTGGAAGACCACATTTTGTGTTGGAAGGCTTTATCTTTAAGTATAGGAAGTCTTGGCGATACGTAGGGGTATCTTAGGAAACATCATTTTTAAGATGGGAGGGAATAGATAAGTACCGTACTATCTTTTGGTAGTTAGATATGGAAGGATTGAGATGAGGTATGTGCAAGTTAGAGAGAGAGTAACTTTTTTTCTGGGTTTTTTTTTTTTAATTAGTTATTTGTTTATTTTTTTCATAGGCTATTTAAAGGGAGTTGTCCCTTTGTAAAGGCAGAGATTAAAATTGAGTAAAACTTGGTCTTGTGAAGAGATCGATTTTGGGGTGCATTCCTTTGCAGACCTTGAGAGAGAGTATATTCTCTCAACCTTTTCTTTTTTTATTGTTATTATTCCGGTTTTATTTCCTCTCTGCATCAAATAGCCTATAAGGTGGACGCTGATGAAATATTCCTTATGCTTATTATGAGGTGCTTATGTCCATTGTTTGAATTAGCTACTAAACAAATATTGAAATGGTGCTGATTTTGGCTATATATGTTCTGATACTTATATGGGAATATTTAAAATTCAAGAAATATTTTGGCTCTTAGAGTAATTGTAACGGTGTACAAGGCATACCACACTGCTATTAAGTGTTAAGCCCCTCATTGGGATGGAAATTTACTTCAATAACAAAGAAAAGAAGCATGTACTTTTGTTTCAGTTTTTTGATAGATTTCAAGCTGCAGCCCACAAATAGTCGTAGCATTGTGATTTGGCTCATATTCATACAATGTGTATATCGGCTATTCAGTGGTGTACTAGCCTTACTTCACCGCTATTGAGCTTCACGTTGGGCTAGACATTTTAAACTAGAGAAGCTTGATCTTGATTCTTAGATTTTGTAATAGTTTTCAAGCCACATAGACAACTATAATCTTGCATCACATTGGCAAACTGTGGTTCGTGGGAGTTAGAGAGGGTGTGAGACGTCTGAAAATTGCAGCTACATAGTGGCACCAATCATTTGTTGATATATCTTTCTAACGACAAATGGTTTTGAACCAAAATTTTGTGCATATCAACTAGAATCGGTTTACTTCCAATATTCAAAATTTCACTGAAATCCAATGTACGATAGTCAAGAACCAGCTCATACAAGTTCTCTGTCAGTCTGTTTTCTGCAGCCTGCAAAAATCAAATAGTACAGAGTGAGAAACCGGGCACTTTGTGTCATTGGACAGTCCCGGAAACCTTCTAGGATCTCAGGCCAACACAGAGGGAGGTTCAAGGTAGAGCCTATCTGGATTTAAGGTCAATGCTTCCTCTCTATCTGGTGGTTAATCAAGTATGGTGAATGGGAGTTTTTGGAGCATACCCCAAGATATGACTTTCCTTGGCTGGAACCTTAAGCTCATAAAGTGGGTTCACCATGCCACTATGTAACTTCTAGGAAGTCCCTTGTCCTTCCATGTCGATGCTGGAGGCAAGAGACGTGGTCCACCTTGTTCCACCCAAGAGACATGTGACTTCTACCTTGTTTCATGCAAGTGACTACCGGCCAGCATATCCTGCCTCTAATCATACTAGTAATGATTGACCTTCTTTCCCAATGGTATAACCAGTTCTAGACCAGCCAACGTTGTCAGAGATCTTCTCTTCTTTTGAGATCTGAAAGGTCAAGCCCCTCAAGTACTTTCAATAGAAATTGATCCTACTTGCTGATTGAATGAAGTAGTTTTCTTACAGATGTAAGCCTCTCACAGCAGTAAGAACATCTTACAGCAA